TTTTAACATCGTCTTGTTTAGGGTCAAAAAAAGCTTGGGCCACGCCCAGATCGGTCTCCTTTAGGGGTTTAATTCAAAATTTCCGACAAGCATCCCGTCCCTTTCATATGCGAGTTCCCCCCCCCGGGACTTGAAGCTAAGGAATTCCAAAGATTGGCAGACGGGTTACTTGAATTTTCTCGGTATACACACCAGCCGAAAAATATCGTGCGATATGTAATGGTGATAGGACGATAACAAAACCGGACGACAGCGCAACGGGAGTCCGATTTGTTTATCACGAGTATGATTACAGACCGAATTGGACGACAAGAAGTCTTATTACCAATTAATCATAAAAATTACAATTTCCGAGAAAAGAAGAATAGTCAAGTTATGAAAGAAAGGGAAAATTTGCATTAAAAATTGATTGATTGATTGATTGATTGATCGATTGATTAAAATACCTACAAAGGATATGTAAACATTCTAAGGCCACCGCGCCTCCTACCGGCAATTAGGCGCCAAAAACACAAAAGCGCACGCACGCTCGTAACTACAACTTTGAATGTGATTGGCTTATTGAACTGTCCAATAACAAACTGTCCGATAACAACTTGGCAAGCGAATTAGTGGAAAATGGAGTTTTTTTAAACCAATCACGATCGAGGAAATTGTAATTTTTATGATTATTCATACTTATTGCGCGATAAATAGTAAAATAAAAAGCAGATACTATGTCCTCTATGGGCCACCATACTTAAAACTCGTGAGTATACCGAGAAAATTAAAGGTATTAAGTGACAAGTGGAATATTCCATGGTATATCACGAGGGCGTTGCATATTTCAGTACCGTAACAAGGGAGGGAGCCGGGGGGGACGTGCCCCCCCAGTGTTTTTACCTCAAAAGTAAAAACTGACATCTATAAAATGTTGAAAATAAAATCTCCTCTCCCAGTCGTATTACACAACTTTCTGCTGAATAACCTCTATATATCCATTTCCCCAATTCGATTAATTTTTTTGCCGTTGTTAAAGCGGGTCAAGACTAACCTGCGTTCAACCACGGGAGAGGTCAGGCTCAACCACCTCATGCCTCTGCATGTCCACAAGGAATTGGCAGATGGTATTGACATGGTGGAGGTAAGCAATTTGTTTGTGGGGGACAACCAGCGGCAGCACTTTTTCATAAAACGACATGCCGATGAAGTCTGCGTTTGCCTCTAAGGCAACTCAGACAGTTTAATAACGAACTAATACCCAACTCTGAGTCTCTGACAGGTAAAACCAAGTAAAACGCTCGCTTGAGAGGCCGTCAGTTTTGTTATTTTTAATTGACGTTGTTAGTGTTATACTTTTTTCAATCTGCATTGCTTTGCCGAGACAGTGTAGGACGTAATCCGCGATATGCGTAAATTACAAATAGCTCTTGGAGAACGCTGGAAATAGCATTTCCGAACCTCTAGATTTCAAAATTTTCTGGGGGGCATGCCCTCAGACCCCCCTAGCGGNGGGGGGGGGGGGGGGGGGGGGCATGCCCCCAGACCCCCCTAGCGGCTCCCAGAGTGGATTCTTCGGTTCCTTTGACACACCATGATCGAGTGATTTGGATTGATCTGTTTAGTAAAGAAATGCAAAATCCTTTTTCGGATTCTTTCGGATTTAAGAATCCAGTCTTGGATTTCTTAAAGAAACGCACCTAAAAGTCCATTCACCTAGACCTATTTTTCATTTTGAGTTACTCTTTGAGGTTAAAAAAGAAGCAGTAGCATCCCGGCTGAAATATGTGATGCAATTTTGGAACTCGCGCTGGGTGTGGAAATATGCCACATGGAACCTGGGACATGCTCCAGTCTTACACGAATTCATGCGCTTTTGACCACAAGGCAGACACACATTCACACAAAAATATGTTTTCCTTTCTTCTGCCAATAAATACAACATGTCTTCTGTTTTTTCTGTGACCCTTTTTCTTTGTTCTCCTTTTCCTTAATTACATTCCCCAAATCCTTGTCTGGGTTATTACAGGGGATGCCAAATACGGTAAGTGTCGGTTCAGTTGACCTCCCTAATAGTCCATGGACCAGACCCTCTCAGATGTACCACTCAGAGGGACCAGCTGAGAGTGTGACAGATTTGAAGCTAAGTTGGGGTGGCTGCTGTCTGGAGACGAAGTTTACAAAGATGCCCAGCCATCCCATCACCAGTGGGATTTGGCTGGTGTTGTGAAGACAACAAGCTGGTCGTAGACTGGATGGGTGGTCAGCCAGCTCCGCAAGCTGTTCTAAAACTACTATCTTGCCAGTGCAGTAGGTCCTGCAAGCTTCCATCGTGCTCCTGTATTGTCAATGGGCTGAAATGTACTGATATGTGCCGGCTTCAAGATTGCCCAAACAGGCCAGATGACGACGACGATGTTTTATCCGTTGACGACAATGACGATGAAGAATGCGAAAGGTAAGAATCTCATAACCATAGGAAAAATATGAAATAACTTTCCTTATATATACTCTTACATTCGTAAGGTTTAGTTTCGAACGATGTACTCTTTTTAATGTATCGAGTAACTGTTTGTGGTTGTCATGGCAACCGCTAAATGCTTTA